CTCAGACTGCCGCCATCGCTCCAGGCCGGCCTTAAAGACCGGCTTCTTCTCCGCCAATTTTAAGAGTGCAGCTCCGGTTTGCTCGGGTGTTTGCGTTCCACCCGGCTTCTCTGAAGCTTCCTCTTTAGTTTACCAATCTCTCCGGGATCGGCAAAGCCCTTTCTGGGCTCTTAGCGAAGATTTCCCGGGATTTAGGAACGGAGATCTATTCCTTCACCCGCTCCACGATGACGTCACAGCCGGAAGTCCTGCAACCCAAAGTTAATGGGGAAGCCAAATTCACTTAACAACTGTGTTACTAACTTAACAAGCGCAGTAATTCAGTTAAGAAATGTGGCAAGAAAAGCCATAAAATGGGGCAAAACTCACTTAACAAATTTCTCACTTAGCAACATAAATCTTGGGCTCAGTTGTGATCATAAGTGGGCGTAAGACTGCCTATATATATATATTTGTTTTCGTAAATTTTCATGGGTACAGGTATGCAGGTCTTGGCGTATTCGGGTCTTTTCCTGTGTAAGATTGAGAGTATCTTGGCGACGTTTCAACGAGGTCCCACTCATCATCTTCAGGTTGGGGTCTTCGTCTTCGTGCTTGTGCGAGCAAAGTGTGATCGGAGCTGCCGTCTCTCTATAAATATTGGTGTGTGTGTGTGGAGTGCTGGCTTAGTTGCTGTAGGTGGGTTGGTTGGCTGTGTTAGAGTCATTGTTTGCGGATTGTTCAGCTGTTTCATAACATCCTGAGTAGTTGAGGTGCTGGCTGTGTGCCCATTAGTGAGATCTACACTAGATCTCAGGATGTAATCACACAACCCATTACCCAGGTTGTTATAACACAAAAGACTAATGGGCACACAGCCAGCACCTCAACTACTCAGGATGTTACGAAACAGCTGAACAATCCGCAAACAATGACTCCAACACAGCCAACCAGCCCACCTACAGCAACTAAGCCAGCACTCCACACACCCCCACCAATATTTATAGAAAGACGGCAGCTCCGATCACACTTTGCTCGCACAAGCACGAAGCCGAAGACCCCAGCCTGAAGATGGCGAGTGGGACCTCGTTGAAACGTCACCAAGATACTCTCAATCTTACACGGGAAAAGATCCGAATACGCCAAGACCTGCATATATATATACCTCTGTGGGATTCCTAGGACGTGCGTAACTGGATATTTTATGCTCTGAGATGGTGTCTCACTTCTACTGCCTCACTGCCTTTCGAGGTCTTCAATGAGATACTTTCTTTTGTTCTTCAGAACCTCATAGAGCAAATCCTTGCCATGGCGATCCCAGCCAGGCATCAGGCTGAAGAGCTCCCTCATTTTAGCCTGGTCTGTTCCCTTTATCATGATTTCTTGATATTGCTCATTAGTCAGGAGGACTCCGTACAGCTGGTCCAGAATTTCTTCCACTGTGGTTGTTCTCTGAATCAGGGCCTCCCGATGGCGTTCAATAAAATGCATTCCTGGGGCCTGAACCTCTGTTAAAAAAAAATATTTTCACAATTCAAGGCACAGCTTGACAATCAGGAGAATATTTGTTAAACAATGAACGCGTGCTACATTAGGAGCCAACTGTCTTCTCGGTCTCCAGAGGAGATTATTCAAAGGCTCGTATAAATGACAAGGTTACAACCGTTTAATTTTTCAAACAAAAACAATTTTTTATTTAATTGTGGGGTCCTATGAATACTACTTTGGGGAACAACAAATATCTTGCTTGTACTAGACTCAGTGTTGTCAAGCTTGTATCGTTCTATACAAACAACTTTGGAAAAATAAATCCAAGGTACGAAGTGAAGGCTAACAGGTGAAATGAGGCTTTATAAAATAATACGACCAACACAATCAGCACCTTTCACATCAGGCTTTTAATTCAACAACGGGAAGAGACGGACTTCCCAAAACTGGCTCCTGAAGAGAAAACGGGTGCCCATCTTTCTTTGCATGTTTTATATATATGCAAATATGTTGCTTTTACCAAGGTTTTAATATAATCTCCCTACCACTCCTTGGAGTTTTAGAGAGAAATCAGATATTGTTGTGAAACTGAAATTCGCTTAAATTTGTACTAAGCAAACAGTCGCGCAGGCTGATTCCTGCCTACTGATGGGGAAGTTAAGGGACTCACCAGCTCGTCTTGAGTGGGTGCTGAGCTGGGGCAGAGGTTCCTGAGCAGAATTGCAGGCACCTGGAAGGGGAAAACAAAGGTTACTGTGCAAAACCAGCAATAAATGGACAACGCACAAAACCTTTGTCTGATATTCTCTGAGAAACCGCGTGTGCATAGATCAGCTTGAGAAGCTGGAAAAATGGTAGCAAGTGAACTTCCCAAGGAAGCTGGATCTATACAGTATAATCAGCTTGATGGACCCTATTGGGTTTCAGTTTGGGATTATACCTGAGGCTCTGGTACACATTTTGATTGAGTTCTTATTCTCCACCTAGATATGAAGCTGTGCTGGCAGCGTTAGACTGGATTGCATTTAGGAAGATTCTCTTTATGTGAAGACTATGCTGTACTCTCTGGTTTTTGGAGGACCTCCAGAAGATGATGCTTAGAATGCTGCTGGAGGAAAACAAGAAGTGAAACTGACCAGAAACAGACAAGAGTCTTTATTATTGTGGTGATAAGAGCAGCAAAATACGCTTCATTTCTCTGCTCTTATTGTGTCCTCTGACTGTTGGCCAGCTCTGTTCAGGGCAACCTGATTAGGGTGTCTCCATGGTGCATGGAGACAACCACCTACAGCCCTACCTGGATAAGAATAAACTTGCTATGATAAATCATGTCCTGATCATTTATGCTTGGTTCTGTCCCTGAAGGTGACTTGTAACTTCAGTTAACACAATTTCTGCAACAGAAACAGAGACTAGATTTGGATGAAATGAGTGCATCACATCAGTTCATCATCATTCCCTCTTTGTTTGTTTTCAGACACAAAGTATAAAGCCCTTCGTGGCTTGAGATGACTGTATCTAAAGAAAATCCACCTTAATTTCTGCTCTTACTTCTGTCCTAACCAAATACAATAGTTTGATCATATCAAAATATTGCGGGCCTAACACTTTTCAACCCTCTGGGCACCCCACCCTGCCAAAGAACACCCAAAGCGGTCTTTATCGCCTTTGCAGTATCGGAGAAAGACATTTTTCTTCCAGGCCTCCTAATACAGTAACAAGTTAGTGGGTGCCCTGATCTTTCTAACTTTTTAGTGCTGCTTTTATTTTCTGGTTACGGGGTTACACTTTATTGCATTATACTTATTATATATACGGTGTTTTAATGTCTCATATCTTTTATAAAAAATATAAAATGTTAGCAATGCTTTCATTGTTTGGATTTTATGGCTGTACAGGTACACACACACAGACACAGACATACATACACATATAAAATACCGGCACAGCCATAAAATCTAAACAATGGAAGTATATCAGAAAGGATATATATACATATATATATACATATTAAAACAATAAAAGTGAACACCAGGGAAAGTTAAAATCATTAAAATTTTTAATAAAACATTAAAATTTTTAAAAAGATTTTAAAATGCTATAACAGACCTAGCTTTCGTTGGAATCTACCAACATCATCAGGGTACAAATGACTAAATGGGAGAAAATACTTTTATACACCAGCCAATTACTAGATCCAGGAGTCGCGCGCAGGCATTGGCTGGTGTATAAAAGTATTTTCTCCCATTTAGTCATTTGTACCCTGATGATGTTGGTAGATTCCAACGAAAGCTAGGTCTGTTATAGCATTTTAAAATCTTTTTAAAATTTTTAATGTTTTATTAAAACTTTTAATGATTTTAACTTTCCCTGGTGTTCACTTTTATTGTTTTACTATGGATATGCCCAGGGATCATTCATCTGTTTTTAGTGTCATTGGTAATATATACATATATATATATATACACATATATATATATATATACATATATATATACATGTATACATACATACATACATACATATAAAATTGCGCTTGCTGGGTAGCATGCACTGAAAAACTGGTAAGCAAACATGTGTAAAACTGGGTTTGGTTTCCACGGAAATGATAAAATATATTTTATATATATAAAATATGAGAAAGGGGGGGTAGACCTATTTCATAACCAACGTTTGGAAAGAGAAAGCAAAATCCTAGCAAAGAATTTCTCTGTGGAAACTGAAACCTCCCCCCCCCCGCCCATAGCTCAACCTCCCCCACAGCTATACGGTTCTCCGGCTGCACTCAACTCCCCCAAGGAGCTACGGGGCTGGGAACTACGGCCCAACCCATATGGGGTTGGCTAGGTTAGAGAAAAGTCCGGGTCAACCCCGGTCCGGTTTTCCTTCCGCGCCCATCCCCTGCGCTACCTCTCCCGGTGTCCCTGAGAAGCTTCTCGGCTTGAGGCTTGCAGTCGCTGTCCGACAGCACCGCGGCCGCCACCTCCACGGCGTAGTCCTCGCAGTAGTAACTGACCAGCAAGTCGCTGAGTTTGAGCGCGTCGGCCTTCTGCAGCGGCCCCCGGGGGATGTTGCTGAAGCCCGGCTTGACCTGGTACTCGTTGAGGTTCAACCTGAACTTTCGGAGCTGGTAGTCTTCCAAGTTCTCCAGGGCTTTTGCCAGGCAGCTGCGGACGCTCCCGGCCATCGCGCCTCTTCCCCGAAAAGGCGGGAACTCGGGAAGAAAAAGAACAAGGAAGGCGCGGAAAAAGGCTGGCAAGTGGGAGGGCTCGGGAGCTGGCTCGATCAACGTTACTTTCGGTTTTTATTTTTTTGGCTTCTTGCTTCCCGTTCCGGGCTTGGTCTCTCGCTGCAGAGACCTCTGGAGATTTCCGGAGGAGGGTCTGGGAGGGTTGAGGATTCAGACGTGCAGTTTGGGCAACGCGCGAATTCTTCTTTAGGGACTGAGAAGAGGCAGTGAGAGTGTAATTAACGCTGGTAGCCTGCTTGGCATCGCACTGCGTCTTCAGAGGCGTGGAGCTGTAACAGAGCTTAATGCAAATTGGGTCCGTCTACAAATCAGTTCGGTTTATGGAGCTTCTCAAGTCATCCAGGTCACGGTTGTCCCAAAGGGGCTTTTTTCCCACGAAGCAACTGGACTTTCTTGGGGGGTTTTTTTGAAGACGTTTCGCTTCTCATCCGAGAAGCTAGAATAGAAATAGAAATAGAAATAGAATAGAATAGAATAGAATAGAATAGAATAGAATAGAATAGAATTAAAAATAGAGCTGAAAGGGACCTTGGAGGTCTTCTAGTCTAGCCCTCTGCTCGAACAGGAGAATCTATACCATTTCAGACAGGTGACTATCCAGTCTCTTCTTAAAAACCTCCAGTGATGGAGCACCCACGATTTCTGAAGGCAGCTGTTCCACTGGTTGATTGTCCTCACTGTCAGGAAGTTTCTCCTTAATTCCAGGTTGCTTCTCTCTTTGGTCAGTTCCCAACCATTGTTTCTTGTCCTGCCCTCTGTTGCTTTGGAGAATACTTTGATGCCCTCTTCTTTGTGGCAGTCCCCTCAAATACTGGAACACTGCTATCATGTCACCCCCATCTCTTCTTTTCTTTAGACTAGCCAAACCCAAGTCCTGCAGCTGTTCTTCATATGTTTTAGTCTCCAGGCCTTTGATCATTTTAGTTGCTCTTCTTTGAACTTTTTCCAAGGTCTCCACATCTTTTTTGTAGTATGGTGACCAAAACTGGTTGCAGTATTCCAGGTGTGGTCTCACTAGGGTTTTATAAAGCGGTACTAATACTTCGTATCATCTTGATTCTATGCCTCTCTTTATACAATCCAGGATTGTATTAGCTTTTTTTGGCCGCTGCTACACACTGCTGGCTCATAGTCAAGTGATCGTCCACTAGGACTCCAAGGTCCCTCTCACAGTTACTGTTTTTGAGCCAGGTCTCGCCTAATCTGAAGTTATACCTTTGATTTTTTTCTGCCTAAATGTAAAACTTTGCTTTTCTCCACATTGAAACTCATTTTGTTGGATAGGATCCATTGTTCAAATTTGTCAAGTTCTTTTTGGATCCTGAGTTTGTCTTCTGGGGTGTTGGCTATTCCTGCAGTTTAGTGTCCCTCCCCCTCTGTTGAGAGAAGACTGTTCAGTTTTGACACAGATGGCCTCTTTGACCCCTCTTTCAAACCAGCGGTCCTCTCTGTCCAAAATGTGGAGTTTGCTGTCTTTTAAATGCAGAGGGACTGTTGAATCTTGTCCTGATGGGTTTCTTCTATGTTACACCAAGCGTTTGAGTCCAGTTGCCTCGTGAAAAAAGCACCTTTGGGATAACTTCAGTTTGTTTGTTTCAGCCCAATCCGATGTTCATTTTATCCGGCACAATTTAAGCTAATCATCATGCTGAAAGAGAAAACTGGGGTTTAATGCTTTATTTCTGGTATTATTATTATTATTATTATTATTTAATTTCTATACCGCCCTTCTCCCGCAGGACTCAGGGCGGTGCACAGCATATTAAAAACAGATACAATAACAATATACAAAAATAAAACCCTTCTAAAACCAAATTAAAAACCAAATATTAGAGGCTGTGTTCCAATTAAAATTATACTTAAAATCGTCCCTAAAT